CAAACACTCGGCCGCAACCCTAACAAAGCGTACAAGAAAGAGCGAAATGCCGGGAACAGGATAGGACCATGTCGCTACCAAAACTCCACAAACCGGAAAGGTGTGACGGATGCCAATTGATAACCTCGCGGGCGGGCTGTTTCACACAAGAAACCGACCCATACCCATCAAGGTCGGCATGTAGGCCGTAACACAAAGACAGCCCGATCATCCGAAAACGTGTTGGCGGTTTATTGAGCCTTCCTCACTTGGTGCGTATGTTGAATAGCTCCAAACCTCCTCCGGTGCTTATGAGGGAGTCCGAGTCCCGCTTCTCGCCATTGCCGGTTGTGGATCCGTGGTCCAGACGGCTCGGATCGTCCCGACAGCCCTGACGACCCCGACGATTCCGGCCGTCACTACTGTCCTGATACTCTTGCTGCATGCTCCCTATAACACACTGGATATCAGTTTGGGTCAACAAACGACGGGGGGGGAGCACTGCAAGCGGTCAGTACCCTGGAGAGGGATACTGAGCAAGAACATGGAATGGCAAACGGTCAAGGGCGTGTGGAAATATAAACTGAGGTACCTGCATGAAGCAGGTGCTGTTGGGAATGCGATTTCGTCTACCGTATATCGAGGGGTTTGCACGCTCCAATGGGGGAGCTGAATAGAACCGCTATGTAGATCACCATGTCATCGCTAGGGGCTCTCGCAGTCGGGGGGGGGGGTGCGTTATCCCGGCACATAAATATGGCTGCGAAGCCTGTTTCATGCACTATCTTCACCATACTGGAGGAGCAAACCCCGGACGCACAAGGAGCGGGAACATGGTTCATTGAAACGGTTTGATGCGCCCGGGAACGTACCAAAGACACCCCGGGCAGGTCGTCGGGGCGCGGTCGTTTTCACATGAGACGAGTATTGCAACCTTTGCAGATCCGTTCCTCGTGCCCATTCACAAACAAAGTCTGTTACTTCACTTCTATAGCATCTACTTGTGGGTTTCTCTCGTTTCAAGTACCGCGTGTCGTTAGCATACAACAATGCGATAGCTGATACTTTCTATGCCTGTAGACAGATATAGATGCCCATTGACCAATAAACAGCCAAACAATCCGAAGGTACCTACAGTTACCAGGCGCTGTTGGAAAAATGCGATTTGAACTATAGCATATCGATGGTTTGGCACACCCCATAGGGAGCTGTAGTGGATCCCTAGATCGCATGTTGTCGCTCGGGTACCGCGCAGTCGGGAGAGTGTGCTGCCCCCCCGGCACCAAATTTGACTGCATCAAATGCGAATTTCATGAACCGTCCTCACTGCTGCTGGTGTACATCTACTGGCTGCTCGGAGGCGACACCATACAGGAGGAGCAAACCGGGCACACAAGGAGCGGGAACACGGTTCATTGAAACGGTTTGATGTGGCCAGGAACGCACCAATAACGTCTGCGCTGTCGGCGTTAGGGGCTGGTATTCACGTGCATGAAGTAGCCTTCGCAGACGCAGGTAGGTCCGTTCCTCGTGCCCATTCACAAACAAAGTCTGTTACTTCACTTCTATAGCATCTACTTGTGGGTTTCTCTCGTTTCAAGTACCGCGTGGTGTTAGCATACAATGCGATAGCTGATACTTTCTATGCCTGTAGACAGATATAGATGCCCATTGAACAAACAGCCAAACAATCCGAAGGTACCTACAGTTACCAGGCGCTGTTGGAAAAATGCGATTTGAACTATAGCATATCGATGGTTTGGCACACCCCATAGGGAGCTGTAGTGGATCCCTAGATCGCATGTTGTCGCTCGGGTACCGCGCAGTCGGGAGAGTGTGCTGCCCCCCCGGCACCAAATTTGACTGCATCAAATGCGAATTTCATGAACCGTCCTCACTGCTGCTGGTGTACATCTACTGGCTGCTCGGGGGCGACACCATACAGGAGGAGCAAACCGGGCACACAAGGAGCGGGAACACGGTTCATTGAAACCGTTTGATGTGGCCAGGAACGCACCAATAACGTCTGCGCTGTCGGCGTTAGGGGCTGGTATTCACGTGCATGAAGTAGCCTTCGCAGACGCGGGTAGGTCCGTTCCTCGTGCCCATTCACAAACATAATATGATACTTTATACTTCAATGTAGAATCTCCATGTCTCTCGTTTCAAGTGCCGCGTGGGGTTAGGAGCTTATCTCCCACAGCAGTTAGCATACAATGCAAAAGCTGGAACCGTTAGAAACGCGATCAATGTCTAGACTGATAGAGATGCTCGTTGGACAAACAAAAAAGCCATCCGGTCACTGCAACAAGAACATACCATCGAAAACGTAACGGTGATGGATGAACAAGAGCATCTACCATTGCACAACTACGAAACAATCCGGTTCACTCCTACAATAATTTCGTACCGTTGAAGACGTTATCTTGATGGACGAACACCAACAACTACGGAAAGTATATGCAATCGAAAACGTAAGCGTGGGGGGTGAACACGAGCACTACCATCGAACAAACAACGAAACAATCCGACTCAGTATATTAAATATGCACCATCGGAAAACCGTAAAGGTGATAGTGGAAAAACTCTACACACCGACTTGAGGTAGGGAAACATTCCAAGCAGTTTTTCGCTATTTTAGGACCATTTTGGCCAACCATTGTTCGACAGTAAGACCCATTTTCGTTGGTCGTGAGGAACGGGGTAACGGCATGGCTCATTGGTGTAACGAAGTTCAAGTTAGGACATGGCTCAGTAGTGCTTGGTAAACGTCGCGAATACCGCGATACAGCAATACAGCGTTAACACCTTCTCGTTTCCGGAAGACTGAAGCATTATTGGGTCGGGTTGGGTCGGGTCAGGTCACCAGTTTCAAAACTCTTTCATGGGTCAAAGATCAAATCGTATCATAGGTTGAACATTTTCTCATGGGCAGGATCGGATCGAGTCACTAATCCATACGCCCTCCATGGTCGGGTCGGACTGAGTCGTGACACAGTCTTGCTGTTTGGGGTCGGGTCGAGTCACCAGCTGCTAAGAGTCTTCAAGTTTTGGGTCTGACACTCGACAAAGAAGCGGTTGGCTCCCCGTCGTGTCGGACTGAGTCATCGTGACTCTAGCCTTTCGTACTACAGTACAAATACAGAATACATCTTTCTGATACACGTTATTACCACACAGGAAAAAAAATTACATGCCATGCGATACCTTGCGTTTGTATTGCTGTGCGCATGAAGACGAGACTGTCGAGACCGAGAAGAGTAAGGCAGAAACAGTTTGCGCTCCTGCAAGCTCGACGAGCGGTAAGAATACTGGGACTACGCTTAGGTTGTAAGCTATCAGGCACCATCAAACCTTCCTTCTAGAGATGTACATCGCGTTGCTTTTCCATTGCCGAAAGCTTCAATGACACATGTTCCGTGACATCTATGGATTGCTGCAGCCCCCCCGCAACCCCTCTACCACCACGCCAACATTTGCCCCAATGCATACACAGCCGTGAGCGGCGTACAACTTCTCTACCGCGAACAACCCATCATCTTACCCGCACAATCACCCAATTACAACCTCTACGAAATTTCCAAAGCATCAGCATGTATGTGTCCCAAACCTCATCTACTCTATCATATGTAGCTTGCCTGGCCGCCTTGGCACGCTTATGTTCTCCACGAAGACGTTCCCGGCCTCGAGGATAGCATCTGCTTGGGACGTGCACCCCCCGAGAAGCAAGAGCAGGAGAAGAAAGTGCATTCCACGGTGAATCCATGTGGATAGGCAAAAGTCATGTCGTAGACGACGTGTGAACCGGGCATCTTCGACGCCCAAAACGCGGAAAAGCAAGCAATCTAAAGGATTGGCTCTACTGTGGGCGTGATGATATAGACAGAGCTCTCAGATACGCCGTTGTCGGTTTCGCATAACTGAACAGCCGATCTATTGTATGGAGAGAGCAACGTATACCAAAAACAAGCGCATTTCAACTTGAACCCCAGGAATACGCACATCTGAAGTACACTTGTTTGCAGATTATATTGTGGAAATATCTTCTTGGATACACACCTGGTTCTATTCCCTTTGAAGAGATGGCTTTCAGGCAGGCCGACATGCACTCGCGTTAAGCCGACTCCAGCTGTTGTTTTGAAGCGTTGGAGGCCGCTCAGTTGTCTATCTCATTTGTATACTTTCTCACTGACCTGGCGTTTAGAAATTCAGCACGGTTTGAAGTACGAGAAGCACAACGTATGATAGATGAAAAAAAACAGGTGAGGTTCCGAAAACACCCGGACAATCAAGGTATTGCGTACGATAGATAGTCGTCTCAGAACCATCGCAATTGTTTCAGTGTACTCAGTGGATTTCGTGGTCCTACGGCTAATGATTCGGTAAATGCAAGCCCGTATTTCGTAACGTGTCACACGGGTGTGGGTTGCTCATGCTCTAGGAGGTAGCACAGCTACTTGACGAATTCATCAGTGTTCTGTCCGTTTCATGGCCAGCCGGTATCTCTCATCCCTCCGCGGCCGCTACACATGCTCTGCAGTACGTTGTCGTCTGTGATTGTGATTCTTTATCGTTCAACAGGGAGCGACTGGGAAATGACCGAATTGTGGGTCGTTTGAATGCGCCATGTCCAGAACGCCAACCTCGTCATATATCGTTCGTTTGCCCCCTGCTGTACCAGTGCAATGTTTTTGTCAGGTTTCGCGCACTTGATGGCATGTTGTAGCTGACCCAGGTGTTGGAGGGCCTCTGCATCCAAATGTCCGGAGTGTGATCTGTTCGCGCGTGGTTTTTTCTCGCATCTGTGTGCAATGGTGTCCATCTTGTCCGAGTCCCAGGAAGTAATGGATTGTCCTGCTCGCCGAACAATGCATGTGCAATGGATACGTGTCTGGGTGAACGCTGATTCCGGGAATAAGGCCAGTAGGTGTGAAAAAACCATCTCGTAATCTTCCTTCTATTGCTGAAATTCTGTCTCGCTCCGCACTGCCTCCCGCCTCTTCTCATTTTTTGACCGAAAAACTAAACAAACGTTCAGACCCAAAGGGGTTAACGGAACGTGATGGGCTCGAGTTTCAGGCAGTGAACGTCGTTTTTCGTACGTTGAGTTTTGAGACTAAATCGACCCGATAACTGATGTGTGGCTGGCACATTTCCCCATCAATGTGCGAAGGCAACCTCATGCAGTAGACTAATTGGGGCCTCACGCAATAGACTAATTGGGATACACGGCGGCTAAAACTTTCGTTTGATCGCACGCGCAGGTGACTGGTATGCTGTTTGCCCAACCATTTTTGTGCGCAGGGCACAGTGGCAGGGAAATGAGAGAAGTACAGCTGTAGTCTACGGCAAGCGCCAGGTGTGCGTGAGTTTCGCGATAGATCTTTCGTCCTGATGGCACCAGTCTGTCCTGCCGATGTAGTGTGAAGGCCTGCCTCGGATGGT